GGTTATCCAATCTATTCTTAAAAACTTCCAGTGTTGGAGCATTCACAACTGCTGGAGGAAAGTCGTTCCGCCGGTTAATTGTTCTGACTATTAGGATATTTCTCCTCAATTCCAGGTTGAGTTTCTCCTTGTTCAGTTTCCATCCGTTGCTCCTCCTCCACCCTTCAGGGGCTTTGGAGAAGAGATTGACCCCTTCCTCCTCCTCTCTGGGGCAGCCCCTGAGATCTTGGAAGGCTGCTATCATGTCCCCTCTAGTCCTTCCTTTCACCAAACTAGACGTACCCAGGTCCTGCAACCGTTCTTTATATAGGTTTTAGAGCCTCCAGCCCCTTAATCCTCTTGGTTGCTCTTCTCTGCACTCTTTTCCCAGAGTCTCAACCTCTTTTTGACATCATGGCAACCAAAACTGGATGCCGTATATTCCAAGCGTGGCCTTACCACGGCACCAGCGGCATCTCCGTTTTTCATCCTGGCACCTGCTCTGTGGCAACTATGCCATAGTCTGGTTTTCCTGTTTCCCTCCCAGTTCGGATCAAAGAGACCCCAACCCTGAGGACACAGACAAACCTCCAGGTGGCCTCAACGACCCTCTAAAAAGGATGCAAACGACCAGCTGCCTGCAAGGAGGATCAACCCTTCCTTTCCCCACCATCCAGTCAGAGCTGAAGAAGCTTCTGGGATGAGAAGAGAAATGTCTTCCAAAGGAAAACATAGAAAGTCCAGTTGCCATTTAAAAAACAAACAAAAAAAAGGCACCGTTGGGACAACCGGGATGTGGATGGCTGAGCATCTCTACAGACGTCTATCTCTGGTGGCTTCCCCTCAAGTGGGCTGCTCCCCTGTAGGTGGGCAGGGAACAGGTGTGACTCTACGTGCCCAGAGGACCAGAACCTCCTCCAGGGTTTCAACCCTCTTCGAGAGAGGTTTGAAGGAAAGGCCAACTCCACACACCTCCTGACCTCGCCATCTTAGCTTCTCCCTTCCATAACCAGCTTCCTTTCGGACCCGACATCGGATCCATGGAGCAAACGATGGGTGCATTTTCCCGCTAGACCTTCCCCTTTCCTCAAGGTAACTTCTTGGACCTCTACAAGTTTCCCTCAACTCTTTCCAATGACCTCCCCAGGGAGGTCAAAAAAAATAAAAAATAAATCAAGATGGCAGCACTTTTACCCGTGTTCAAAGGGTTGAGGTTTCCAATGATGCGGTTGGCATTCTGATTTTATTTTTTTTAAATCTCCTCCTTGTCAACTCACAAAGCACTCCTAGGCCTGTTTTCGAGTTGCCATACACAGAGGGAATCTGAAGGAGCAATACAGCAAGTTTAAAACCAGAAGTCCATTCCAATACTTCTTACAAAGATTGTAGCCTAGGCTACCGGATCTTCTGACCTCGAAAACCCTTCGTTGGAGAACGTGATGGATGATACCCAGCCCGTGAAGGTGCTTCATTGGAGAATCTGATCTATGACACACCCAGGGGGGGAGTGCGGGGGGGAAACGGGGTCACAGGAGACTGTGAATTACATGTGCCGTTAACCTACATGGCTTCATTTAGGTTAATGCTGGCATGTTGCTCTTAATAAATCTTTTGGCTTCTTTTGAAGTTGGGCTCGAGGCTCATGATTTCGTTAGGGCAATTGCCGGAATCCTGACACTTCTATATGGACTCACTTAACAGTGGTCAACCCTGCATAACGTGCTAAAATATAATGCATATCAGCAGAAATGTTACAATATTGCCAGGAGAATAGCCAGTTGGACTGGATCGTTTCAGGGTTAGCATCCAGCACATCTGGATAGGAGTCATGTCGGGGCAGGCTACTTCCGGTTTGAGCTTCTTCGGCGACAGACCGCAACCTCGTCTCTGCGAGGCTTCGATCCGTGCTCACCGCTGGAGCACCCCGAGGCAGCTGGTTTTGGGACTAAGCCACCCCGCAGAGGTGGTGAAGAGCGGGGAGACTGCCTGCAGGGTTGAGGAGAGCCGCATCTCCTCAGCTGGCCATTACTCCCTTTCCCGAAGGTGGTTGTAGCGGTGGTCAGAAATGGCCACCATAAAGAAGAACACGACCGGAAAAGAATGTGCAGGAGGAAGATAAGAAGAGAAAGTTTTGGGTGACTGGGTCAAACAGCAAAAGGAACAAATAAGGTACCCTGGAATTGAAACTATTAAAAAAAAAACAATAACATTGTTCCCTAAGAAGATTTTTAAGCTGTGAAGGAGAGAGAAAAGGGAAAGGATTTGGGTTTTTTTTTTCTCATCTTCCTATACTGACAGCTAAGGGACTTAAGCAAGAAATTGGAAAAAAAATCCACTTTGACATTAATAGGCATTTAATGCTGAAAATAAAAAGTCAAAGGGATTAATAAAGATTTCTGGATAATTAAAAGCTTTGGAAAACAGGAAAGGAGAGAGAAAAAGAATAAAAGGGCAGGATCTGGAAGGGAGGAGACTGCCTGGAATTAAAAAGAACTTACAGCAAAATCTCAACAAGACTTCCAAATGATACATTCTAACTGAAATATCGCAACAAAAACCCCAGGAAGAGAAAAGTGGAAAAAGAAATAAGAAGAAATAACTTGGGACTATTTGGATTACTTGATGATTTCTGGATTTTTGGTTATTGTATTTGAATGACTAAAATCAATCGGGTGGTTGTTTAAAACTGTTTAAAATGGCTCCACTTTTAGAAGAACTGAAAATGGAACTTAAAAAGTACAAAGAAGATGCACAAGGAGTGAGAGGTAGTTTTGGCTTCATATTTCAGTTTTTAGAAATGGAGATTTGGAATTATGAGAAAGGACAAGAAATGCCTGCAGAACAAGAAGATTGCGACAAAGAAGAAGCCATCTTTAATGAACAAGTAATCTTAGGTGGGGAAAAAAAAGGAAAGGGGGGAAAGAGAATGGAAAGTTTACGATTGGGGAAAACAACTCAAAAAAAAAAAATAGAGTGAAAAGTAAGTATAAAATCAGAAAGCAACAGAAGAGGGAAATGCAGAAGAGAGAATCAGAAGTAGAGAGACAAGGGGGTAAAAAGGGGAGGGAGAAGATGAGAGGGAAGAAAGAAAGGAAAAGAAGTTATAAAGGACAGAAACAAAATATAGAGAAACAGGGCCTATTTAGAGATAATGGGTGAAAATTTAATGGAAAAAGGGACTCTGCAAAGGTACATAAGATATATTAGAAACAGAAATAATTTTAGAAAATATGAATCAATGTATGATTAAAATGTCTGATAAAATAGCTATTGTAATTCAGTGGAATGCTTGCCAATAAATAAATGTAACAAAATGAATATTTAATGATTTATAAAACACATGTGAAGAGAAATAAGGGAAAAATTAATTATGGAGATTATATGTGTTTTTAAGGAAGTATGACATTTAATTGAAAAGAAGTGTTGAAGATGGTAAGATTTTAATGATTATTAATGATAGAACTGAATTGGAATGGAATGAGGTTTTATAATTACATATATTTATAAAATTACATATATTTATAATCTTCCTCCGCAATCTCCATTGTGTATATTCTCTTTTAATCCCTTCCTCCGCAATCTCTCCACTGTATACTCTCTTTTAATCCCTTCCTCTGCAATCTCCACTGTATATACTCTCTTTTAATCCCTTCCTCCACAATCTCTCCATTGTGTATATTCCCTTTTAATCCCTTCCTCCGCAATCTCTCCATTGTGTATACTCTCTTTTAATCCCTTCCTTTGCAATCTCTCCACTGTGTATATTCTCTATTAATCCCTTCCTCCGCAATCTCTCCATTGTGTATATTCTCTTTTAATCCCTTCCTCCGCAATCTCTCCACTGTATATACTCTCTTTTAATCCCTTCCTCCGCAATCTCTCCAATGTGTATACTCTCTTTTAATCCCTTCCTCTGCAATCTCTCCACTGTATATACTCTCTTTTAATCCCTTCCTCTGCAATCTCTCCACTGTGTATATTCTCTTTTAATCCCTTCCTCTGCAATCTCTCCACTGTGTATATTCTCTATTAATCCCTTCCTCCGCAATCTCTCCAATGTGTATACTCTCTTTTAATCCCTTCCTCTGCAATCTCTCCACTGTATATACTCTCTTTTAATCCCTTCCTCCGCAATCTCTCCAACGTGTATACTCTCTTTTAATCCCTTCCTCCGCAATCTCTCCACTGTGTATACTCTCTTTTCATCCCTTCCTCCGCAATCTCTCCATTGTGTATATTCCCTTTTCATCCCTTCCTCCGCAATCTCTCCCCTCTAGGTAGTAGGATTGCGGCGGGAGGGGAAATACAGGCAAGGCTGACTGGGGAATCGTGGGAGTGGAAGAAGTCCCCCCCCCTCTTAAAGTCCCTGTGGTCGAATAACGCTACCTCAAGGCAAACGTGGGCAACTTTGGGCATCTGTGGCCGACCCGGAATAAATTAGACGAATTGGCCGTGATGCAGAATAAAAACATCAACTCAGCTTCCCTTAGGGAACAGGTCCAATTTCCTGTTTTGTTTTGTTTTCTTCCTTTCCAAAACTGCCGGGCCTTTTTTAGGGTTTAGGTCTCCTTACTCCCCCCACACACACCCCAAAAAGCAGACCCACAGTTTGCACTCAATCTCCCACCCTGTTTTTCCCCTTTTTGGCCTGAGCCGTCTTCGCAAAACCTCCCCGTGTCCTCAAGCTCTCTCGCCAGGAGGGGGGGGGGGGAGGAAGGAGGCCCCAGGGATAAAAAGCCCCTCTGTTTGGGGGAGACAGTCGCAGCTGCCATCTCAAAAGGAAAAAAAAGGGGGGGGGGCGAGAGAATTGACCGAATTCCTTTGCAGAGCCAACACTTCCCTTCCTGCAAGGCGTTGGCCTTGGGCTTCTTCCCTGGCCCCATCGGCCACAGCTGTGCATGCACATGGGATGTGGGGTGGGGTGGGTGAGGGGAGGAGTCAGAGAGGAAGAGGAAGGCAGCCCAGCAGGGTGTGGGGTGGGGGGAGGTGGGGGGGGGGGGTTTGGGGGGGGGGATACTCACTCCCCCCGGGCAGACTGTCTCGGTCGAAAATGCACAGCTTGTAGCCGTATTCGTTCTCCAAGACGCCCCGAAGGGTCAACAGCACGAAGTCCTCTTCTTCCGTGTTCCGGGCGTAGGAGACGTAAATGTCGTATTCCTTCCCATCTGGAGAGAAGGGGGAGAACCAGAAAGGAGTGAGGGGCTCTGGGGGGGTTGGGGGGGGTTGGGGGTCTTCGTGAATTGGGCCGCGGATGAAGTCTGCATCCCTGGGTTGCAAAAGCAGAACGTCCCAGGGGCAGAGATGGAAGGGGCCTCAGAGGTCCTCCAGTCCAGCCCGCTGTTCAGAATATGGAAGGGACCTTGGAGGTCGTCTAGCCTGACCCGTTGCTCAGAATATAGAATAACAGGGTTGGAAGGGACCTCAGAGGTCGTCTAGTCTGACCCATTTCTGAGAATATAGAATAATGGAAGGTACATCGGAGGTCCTCTAGTCCAACCCGCTGCTCAGAATATGGAAGACCAGAGTTGGAAGGGACCTCGGAGGTCATCCAGCCCGACCCATTGCTCAGAATATAGAATAACAGGGTTGGAAGGGACCTCAGAGGTCGTCTAGTCCAACCCGTTTCTCAGAATATAGAATAATGGAAGGGGCCTCGGAGATCCTCTAGTCCAACCCTTCGCTCAAGCAGGAGGGCCCTACACCACCTCAGACCCATGGCTGTCTAATCTCTTCTTTAAAACCTTCCAGGTTCTTCCCCGCCAATGAGCGTGAGTTCAAGTCCTGCCTTAGGCCTGAAAGGCAGCTGGAGGACCCTGGGCCAATCTCTCTCTCTCTCAGCCCAGCCCACCTCACAGGGGTGTCGCAGGGAAAACAGGAGGAGGGGGGAGTATTACTCTGGCTGGGAGAGACAAGGGAGGCACGGCGGTGGGCCAAGCACCAGGCCCACGTGGGGAGGAAGACGAAGGTCACGGGCAAAGCAGACGGCGGCCAGGGCTCCCTTACCGAGGACGGTTTCGTCGGTCCCAAAGTGAGCACGGTAGAAGAGGACCATTTCCAGCCAGTAGAAGTGGTAAATGACCGTCAGGAGGACCACCAGCATCACAGTGGCCCCCAGACCACAGGCGAGCTCCACAGTGTATCTCAAAACTGGGGCTGAAGGGGGGAGGGGGAGGAGGAGGAGGAGGAGGAGGAGAAAGGGAGGAGGAAGGAGAGGAGGAAAGGGAGGGGGAGGAAGGGAACGTATAGAAGAGGAGAAGGGAGGAGGAAAAGGAGAAGAAAGGGAAGGAGGCGGAGGAGAGAAGGAAGGAGAGGAGGAAGAGATATGGAGGAGCAGGAGGAGGAGGAGGAGAAGGGGAGGAAAGGGAGGAAGAGAAGGTATAGAAGAGGAGGAGGAAGGGAGGGAGGAGGAGGAGGAAAAGGAGAAAAAAGGGAGGAGGAAGGAGAGTACGAAGAGATATGGAGAAGCAGGAGGAGGAGGAGGAGGGGAGGAAAGGGAGGAAGAGAAGGTATAGAAGAGGAGGAGGAAGGGAGGGAGGAGGAGGAGGAGAAGGTATGAAAGAGGAGAAGGAGGGGAGCAAGTACGAGGAGGAGAACAGGAGGAGGTGGAGAGGAGGAGGTATAGAGGAGAATGAGGGGAAGAAAGGGGGCAGGAGAATGTATGGAAAGAGGACAAGGGAGGAGGAAGGAGAAGGAGAAGGAGAAGGAGAAGGAGAAGGAGAAGGAGAAGAAGAAGAAGAAGAAGAAGAAGAAGAAGAAGA